GGACTGCAGAGACCCTGAGAGGAAGGGCAGCAGGTTGGGAAGCCTTGAGTCCACAGCGGGCAGCCCATATCTGCCCCCACCCTGTGCACAAATCTGAGGGTTTTATGCTCCCTCTTCCTCCCCCCCAGGGCTGCACACAGTGATGGGGGAGCCAGCCCCACCACCCCTTCTGGCTCTGTCCCACTCCCTTCCCAGGCCCTGCAGCTACACATTCCCACCCCAGCTTCAGGCCCCATGCACTGCATTGGCTGGGCAGTGCCCCTAGCCCCAGCCCTTGCCAAAGTCCCTCCCTCCCTCCCTCACCATGATGGCTAGAAAATGGTTTTTAGAGGTTTATTTTTGGGAATTGGCTTGTAGGTCAAGTAGAAAATGTTTAGGATTGGGAATCCAGAAAAAAGATGACAAAGCTGATAGGGAAATACAGATCGCCCGAGCGAGGGACTAACAGTAGAGGGATGGGCGTGAGGGGAATGCAACTAGGTTACAGGAGATACAGTGTTAGCCAACTGAGCCCGGGGGTGGGGGGAAGGGGAGGGAGGGGGTTCGTGATGCTGAGAGAGAAAGGAGATAGATACACACAAACCCGTTACAATGGTCCACAATGGCGGAGGAAGTGGTTTGGAGGAAGTGCCTCAGTCCGTATAGAGTCTCGTTGCAGGGGTCCTCTTCAGGTGGAGCAGGGTCATCCGTGGTCGAAGAATCCTCTCGGAGTGAAGTGAAGGTCCGTCTGGCGCCGGGGGGGGGCGATTCAGGCGGTCCCCTCCGGGTCCAGTCCAGCAGTGGCTCGTCTGGTGGGGTCGGAGTACTGGCAGTGGCCCGTGATGTGTTCCACGTAGATGTCGCAGGACCAACAGATGGTGTCAGACACCATGAGGCAGTGCATCAGCTTGGCGTAGTGGCAGGAGACACGGCAGGCACCCAGGATGCTCTCGTTGCTGGGGTCCCAGGCTCCGAGCGTTCCCACGATGAGCGCGTCGACCGTCACATCGTAGCTGCGGCCCCTCAGGGTGTTGGCCAATGGGGTGTACTTCTCCCCCTTGCAAGCCTGGGCGTTGGTGAAGGCTTGGCGCTGGTTCTTGACGGGGATGGTGACGTCCACAATCATGACTTTCTTGGCTTGACTATGTCGGGTCGCATCTGGCTCTTGCAGCCTGGGACGGTGCGGTTCATGGAGATCTCCCCTACCACGGCCGGGATGGCCCTCACCAGGAGGTTCTGGACAGCGTTATGGCAGACCTGCCAGGCTCTGGCATGCGGCTTGCAGCTGCACAGCACGTGGGGGAGGGTGCATTAGAACAATGGTTCAGGGGAATGGCAAGGATTAATTAATTTCTAAAAGTTTGTTTATGACAAAGTTTCCTTCAAGGCCCACTGTGTCTGACACAGGCAAGCAGCAAGAAGACACAGGCTGGGAAATTGAAGACATGTACTACACTGTTCCATAACATGAGATATGGGACTCTGCCATGTTGGCCAGAATACAATGTCCAGTTGCAGAGCCCTTGGGATTTCTATTTTTGGGGAGCAGACCAAATTAGGATGTGTGCATGTGATGGTTCTGTGAAACAAAGGAGTATGCTGACAGGACTGGACAGAATGGGGACGGTAGGACAACCACATCGAAATGAATCAACGATGCCCAGGAACAAAGAGTCATCAGAGGGGCAGAAAGAATACAAAAGGAGGGATTTCAGAGCAGCAAAGGGTCCCTGAGAGGGGAACCTGAGGTCACCATGTACAGAAGGCACACCACCCCCCATCTCACCCACCCCACTGGGGAGAGGTGGGCCTCGGCCTTTAACCTCCAGGCTGCTGACAGCTGACATTCAAGAAAGAACCTCAGAGTGAAGCTCGCATACTGGCCAGACATACCTTGACTCTGTGAACCCTAGTACTAGTAGATACAGAAGTGTTTGCATTATTCTCATCTGCTGTCACTGTGTATCAGTAAAATTCACCTGTTATCGAATGGAAAGGACGTGGTCAGTCTGAGGGTTTGGGTCCATCCGGAACAAAGTATCTGGGTCATAAATCCAGTACCAACAACTATAGGGGCCTCAGTTCCCCCTCCTCACACAGACTAACCTGGAGGGAGCTGTGGGAGCCGCTTTCAATGCTGCCTGGCTGCCACATGCATGTGTACATACACATATATACATGGTGCCCCCTGCCTGATCACCCTCCTCCTACTCTCCCCAGTCTCTTGCAGGCTGGAACTCATTTCCTGGATTTTCTCCTTTAAATCTCTGTTTTTCTCCTTACCACCTCCTCTGCCCAACCCCAGGGCTATGTACCACCTCCAGGCAGTTCTGCATGCTGGGATCGTGGCTGCAGGAGTACATGCTAACTCCACCCAGCCCCGCATGCCAGGATTGGCCTATATGCCACATCTAGCACACAGGACCACAGTTCACATGAGCTAGATAACAAGGTACTGGCAGCTGGATCTGGCCTCCTGGCTGGGGGTTGAGCACCCCTGGAATGGATCCTAAATTAATCTGCTTGTCAGATGAGAATTTTGGACAACACTATCCTAGCTTCTTTCTTAACTCCAACAAATAAGAGTCTCCAAGGAGATCACCTAATAATTTTAGGTAAGGTCCACACCATCTGGCTATTTTTCTATTGCTTTTTTAAAATTTTATTTTATTTGTTGTGGCATTTTATCTAAGAAGGACTGGCCATAGATCTCATCTAAGATCACCAATTACATTATGGTATTGTTGCAGTGATATTGTTGCCTGGAAAGCTTGACTGGAAGAGGCCTGAGAAAGGGTACTGTGATACCCGAAGGTTTGCCTATGGCTATACCAACCATACAGCTGGTCCAATACAAGACATCAGCCACAAGAATTATTGCCTCTCAGTTATGTTGTTTCATTCTGATAGTCACTTGAATGATAGTAAAGCATTGATTCCTTGTTTAATGATAGATAAGAGCTGTCTAAGATGACAAAAACATGGCATTTGAAGAAGAGGTATTCAATTAAAATCTGTGCTGTTTTTATACAGTTTTTGGTTTTGTGTGTGGGGTTCTTTTTCTGAATCCTTGGATTACACCTGATTTCTTTTCAGTCTAGCCATTATTAGTTGGTCATTTTCTTAGGCCCCCTTTACATGTTATGTATATTATGCAGTTACCTGGTTAATTGTGCAATTTATTTAGATTGGCTACACATGCAAATTAACTATACTGCCTTAAGAAGGTGGCAAAAAGTTAGGTCTGGAAAATGTGTAATAACTATATAGCTGGTTTCTGTCCAGCTTCAATTTGCATGTGTAGCCTATGCCCCTGTGGCTGGGATCCTGTCAACTGACAGAGCTCCCAGCCACCAGTGTGCACTGTGCACTGCCACAGCTGAGAGTCCTGCAACTGATGGGACTCCTAACCACAGAACTGTCCCATGGGCTGCCATAACTGGGTGCCCTGTCAGTTGACAAGAGCTCTCAACTGCACCCGTGAGCCTACAAGCACCCATCTAAACCTAGCTCCTAGCCACAGGAGCATATGGCCCTGCCAGCTGAGGGGCTTCTAGCTGTGGGAGCTTGTTTTTTGTTAGTGCAGGAGAAGCCCGGGATCAGACTTCCCCTACACTGGCAATAGGGTGTGTTGGGATCTGGTTCATGATCTCATAATCATACCTTCTACCATTCACATGTGGCATGGCAGAAGGCGTGATTGTATGGATCGTACATCAGATCCCATTGCACCTTTACCTCCACGTGTAGAGGGGCCCTCATAGATAAATTAATCTTGATGAGGAATAGAATAAACAGATGACCACAAGTTAGTGGTTATAGATGATGTTGCTTTGAAAGTGATAGCAGAAAGGACAGGCAGGCAGTAATTAAAAGACATAGGGACAATAAATACAAAACATTTATTTTTTTAAGGATTGAGAGGAAGAAGCTAAAGGAAATTCACATTTTAGGAGTAAACAAGAGGTGTCAAGAGAGGCCAGAGACTCAAAAAGCACTTATTTGTACTTTGATAGCCCACATCTTCAATTTTCCTTTTATTGTGACAGTTCTGTTCATATGATAACTCAATGAAAATATTAGGACAAAAACCCTAATTTGCCCACAGCATGGATGGTATCTGATTCCCTTTTTGCCTCTTTCAGAAAAGTGACAATAATGGAAGACCCAGATCAGAACATTCATCTGAAAAACCTGTCTCTTCAGCAAGCAACCAATGAAGAGGAAGCACTAAACCTTCTATTCTTGGGAGACACTAACAGAATGATTGCAGAGGTAAGCTTTGGCCAATACTGTTATAAATCTCATATGGCTTTATAAGAGACAAAATGATTGTAAACTTCGGCTAAGTACAGACAGTCAAAAAGCCTGAAGTGGAATCAGTCCATCCACACAAGTTTCTTTAAGGGGAAGGGCTTGCAGGGGCCTCATAGGCAACTGGGATATCAGCAGATGGCAGCCTACTTTGATTCTTGATTGGACCTGACAGTGACATTCGATGCATCAGTCCAACCTAGCTTGATTAAGTCTGATATTACATGGAGCCAGGTCTATCTTACACCAGGATCTGCCATTTTGAAACTGCTTTATTTGTCCTGAATTTCTGTTTTGTTATGGGTATAGATTAGTTTCCAACCTTCTAAACTGGAAAAAGTGCAATGTCTGTACCTAGCCATTCTTATGTAACAACTGCTTAGCCATTGTAAGGGATTGAAATGAATAAGCAGGTTCTCTGTGAATAGAGATCCCCTGTGATAATGCAGGAAGTGTGTTTTCATGTTCATATTTGTATATTTTTTTATTTTGTGAGCTTTATTTTTTTCTATGTTGAACCTAGTTTTCTATGATATAACAATTTTACATTGCAATTAAAATAATTAGAACAAAACAATTGTGGTCTTTTCCAATAAAAATGCATAGATTGATTTTGGCTATTATGTGTATCCCACATGTATGCACTTAAAAAGTTCAAACCAATCATTATTTTTATGTAATAATGTTAAAGCTTCTACCAGACATACTGGCTTGCATTTGAAGTGGCTTCACCAGCAACCAGCAGTCCTTTTTTACTTCAGGAACATGTTCATGTGGTTTTATTACATGAAAAAAAAGCAAATACTAGTTTACTACATTTTAAAATGAACATTAGTAGATATGCTAAAATTAGGTTGATTTAGTTGACAATTCAAAGTTATATAATAATATATTTGTAATTGTATTATTGCTTTTCTGGGCTTGTTATACTTTCATTTTTTTCACTCAGTAATTGAAAAAACTATGTAGATATAAAAGGCATACTAAAGTACTTGAGCATTGTCAATCCCTGAATCACAAGATTACTTTTCAGTCCTGAGAACTTGCTCAACAAGTTTATTCATATATTAGGAGTGTGTAATTTATTCAAGATGTCTCTTTTGAAGGCATGTCTTGAAATGTCAAAAAGGTAGCTATAAGTTAATGAGGGGATAAATACTCAGATGGCATTTCATACTTAGACATTTTTCAGATACATGAAAAAATAAAATATAGCCCTGAGTCTCCATTAACTACATATGCACACCCATTCATGTAGATGGGAATATTTGTATCAGAAATATGATTACAGGTTTCCCTTGCTTTATGCTGTACATGTGTTCCTGAAAAATGGTGCATAACTCGAATTCACGTAACGGGAACCCATTTTACAATGTAACAAATAGGGATGTGTTCCAAGACATCAGCTGTCCTCACCCCCAGACCCATTTCTACCACTTTTACAAGACAATTTTGGTACTCACCAATAGCAGACGGTACACACAAGTACAGGGCACTATCATAATGGGAATGGCAACTACAGAAACATGTGTTGCAGACAACGTGTGAGGAGGACAGATCCACACAGGAGACAATATTTGGTGTGCATCACTCCCACAATGCTCCACACAAAGCAGTTGACTGTGGGCTTCCACAACACCGATTGCATAAGAGTGAATTTACCTTGCATATAATGATTTTTTGGTATAAAAAGGGTAATCACATAAGACTGAATTCACACATACAGAACCACATAAAGCGAGGGAAACCTGTATTGAAGAAGCCAGCATCCTTCATCCATGACAGTGAGGATATCTTCTGTCTCAAATTTGTTAGAATATTTCCAAAGCGTTAGAAGGATCTAAACTGGTGATGGTAAATAAGGCTTCTTGATTTTTGCATCCTAAGAGCAAAACGCTTTAGGTTATTTAAACACATGTTTTGGCTTTTGTAAAACATCACGGTTTGGCCATTACACATATATGTGTAATTTTAACCCTGAATCTCTGGATATCTTATCATCCAGAATACGAGGAAAACATGGATTTGCTTTTAACGTGACTGTCAGAAATTGATTTCTACAAGGAAGTAGCTTACTGGGGAAAAAATGACATAGTAATCACTTTTTTAAACTAGGTTACCAACTTCACATTTACAGAGACAAATTCAGCAGCTACTATAGTAACCTGAAAACATCTGCAAAACATAGTTCCATGATCTGGTATACAAAATCAGCTTCTCTTTATGGCTTATTTTCATGTACTCCAGCTGTAGCCAACATTTTCAGGAAAAGTTATTAAGAAAAGCTACATATTTGTCAGTGTAGCACACTAAAAGTAATTTCAAAACCTGTAACAACATCCTCTAGACAATGTTTTCTTTGCATTAATAGCACAAACTGTGTTTGAATTAGTGTTTTTGATGACATATCTAAATGAAAAAGATGAACATCTTGGAATCATTGGGAAAAATGGTATTGTGACTAAACTCTCTGTTGATTGAAATTATAATTTACGTACTAATTTCATTTGAACGGCTCTATAAAGGGAACAACATTTTCAAATGTGAGGACCTTCTTTGAATATCTGTATTTTGCACTGGCTATTTTTATTTATTTATTAATTTATTAGATTTATCTGCTGCCTTTCTCAACAAAGGCTCAGGGTGGCTTACAGGAAGAGACTGAAATAACTTATAAAACAAGAGAATGAACAAGAGAACAAAACAACTTATAAAAGCAACTAGAGTATTAAAATAGATTATAAAACCAACCCCCGACACAGATCCCAGCTCAGCCTGATTTGCTGAACACATGCCTGAGTAGGTGAAGGAATTCAAGAGAAAAATGGCTTCTTTTTAGTGGTGGGAGAGGAAGTTGACTTTAGTATTTGTATTTTAAGAGGCTGGAAGTCGTTTACAGAAATTGAGGCAAGAGGCAATTGAAAGCAGGGCACCTTAAAGACTAAGTTGTTCAGAAATGCCATAACTTTTGTAGGCAACAGCCCACTTCATCAGATGCAAGTCCATTCATAGCAGATAATGAAGTAGGCTGCTGCTTACATAAGCTTATGCATTTCTGAATTGGTTAGTCTGTAAGGTGCCTTGCCTTCTACCTGAATTCAGGCACACACTCCTGACTACCTCTCTCTACTCAAAGAGGTAACTGAGCCATGATTAAGGTTGTTAGTAGTGGGAATAATCAGAAAAGAGAGTGTTATGCTGATGTTAAGGAGGAAGAATTAACATTATTTCAGGATTGGGAGGAAAATTTGAGTTCAATTTTGATGAGACTGGAGCAAAACAGTTAGAGAATGAGATAATGTGGGTGATTGATTATTATTAGGTTGGTGATTGGTATAAGGGGAATAGAGGAAAACAAAATAGTGGAAGATGTTACCTAAAGAAAAAACATATACAGAGCACTGAAGTTCAACAATAAATAGTACGATGAGTGAAAATGAGAAGTCACTGAAATTTTTAGATGAAGTACTGTAAGGTGGATCCATAACAGGTTGGATCATTATGCTCAAAGTGTAGTCATCAGTGCTTTAATATTTAATTGGAAGGAGTTATCAAGTCTGGTTTACCATGGGTTTGCCCTGGGTTCATTACTGTTTCATATCTTCCTTATGATTTGGAGTTTGGGATTGGGTGCACGGTTAGCAAATTTACACTTGACACCAAGCTGAGTAAAGGTGCAGATGCTTTGAACAAGTTACAGAAGGTAGAACTCTGGTGAAGGTTAATTATAATGAGAGTAATTCACATTGGACAGAAATCAATTAAATGGGTGGAAGAAATAAAGCCTATAGAAGCAGTAAGTGTAGATGTTGTGATCAGAGATCCTGTTGAAAAATAAAATGAGAAAAAAGATAAGGCTGAGAGTTGAGAAAGATTTCTCCCCTTCCTAGTGGAACTAAGAGAAGAAAGTGTAATGAAGCATTTTAAATGTGGAACTATCTTGTATTCTATTTTTCAGTGATGACAAATATACCTCACTTGCATTACTGGGTGTTGTTCTCTCTTGCGTGCTACAGTTTTTAATTAGCTAACAGCGTGTTACTGTTTCATTGTCATTTGGACTTTCAGGTGTCTGTGGCACTTGGTACAGGGACCAGGGCCAGATTAACACATAGACAAACTAGGCACATGCGTAGGGCCGTAAGCTGTGGGAGACCCAGTTTTTCCATCCACATTGGTGGTGCAGATGGGCCCGTCTGCTTCCCTTCCCTTTCCTTCCCTTTCCCTCCGCTGGCCTCACTGCTGCAGCGGCTGCTTCCTAGCAGTGGCTTCAAGCCCTGCTTCCCACAGGCGGCAGTGCCAGGGTGGGGAGGGGGGTCTTGACTGGCCCAGGGTCCACAACTTTGTTGGCCTAGGGCCCACTAATGGGTTAATTTGGCCCTGACAGAGACTTCAAAATGCTAGTAAATCCCAAATTTGGGAATGATACAGAAGTTTGTCATTGAATAATTAGCAGTTGCTTCACAGAAGACTAGGGTCCAGTTTTACTAGGCATTATATAAAAACATAGTAAGAGATACTTGCAACCTGCATAGAAGCCAGTAAAAGCATATGGGAAAAAATATGCCTATTCCTATTTTACAGATAAGTAACTGACATATCGAGATTAAATGTAAAACCCAGAGAGGTGCAACAGGCACCTCCAGTGTGGTTGGTGGGACATATAAAAATTAGGCACCTGGCCCCAGAATCATTATTCAAGGTGTCGCAGGGCACCCAGGTGTGCCTTTTCTTTTAAGGGCAGAAACTGCCTAGGAGCAACTACTAAATGACTGTGCAGTAAAAGCATGGGTTGTTTCCGACCCTACTGAGCAGTAACAATGAGCTACTGCTCAGTAGCTCATTGTTACTGTGCAGTAGTGTCAACGTCATGGTTTGTACCCACTGATGCTGCATCACCATAGCAATGAGTTATGTTGCTGTAGCTCATTGCTACGGTGATGTAGCATCTTGTATAGATG